GTGTGAATTCTTCTGCTCTCATGTTATGATAAGATAACTCTCTTTGCTTGCTCGCCATTTCTTCTTTCTCTCTCTTTCTTTCTGAAATAGTTCTTCGGTTGCATTTGGCAACAAACTCGCAGGCCAGTGCAGAAATCCAGCCATAATAAATGGAGGGGAAAATAAGACATCTGAAAGACCAGCTAAGCAAACTGGTGATATTTCTTTTTTTTTGCCTGGGACAGATCTTTTGGAGATGTGTATTGTAAGCAATTTTTGAGCTGTCAGCACAACATGCCTACTGGTCTCAGCTTGCCTGAAGGCGGAAAGAGGGTAAGGTTAGACTTGTAGCTGTCGGATTGTTCTACTTGCATTATTATTATTTTATTTGCAGTATCTGGTCTTGAAGGAATTATGAGCATATTAGAGACTGTTCAGGAGAGAGGCTAACCGATGCACATGACTATTTTCAAAGCATGAGTAATATGTTTTTCTAAAGGGGGCTAAGAGAGAGAGAGAGAGAGAGAGAGAGAGAGAATGACAAACAGAGGCTGAAACAGACAGCGAGTTACAGGGTCGCCTGGCTTTAACACTGCCCCTCAGAAGATTAGCCTATCACTCATCAACATGGTGTTGCCTTACTCAATTAGCCACAACTCAAACTCTGTGTTTTAAACAACTGCAACATTCCTATCATGCCCACACAGTAGAGGTAATGGAGAGCTGCCTTGAGAGGACATCTGCCCCTGCTCCCATTAAGACAGCCCATGCTGCTGTCTCAACGAGGCATTCTGGAAGACGGGAATGAAGATAAGATGGTGTAAGGTGAGGAGAGAGCGGATGAAGAAAGATATCATGCCATACCGAATGGCACTTTGAGTGTTGCTCCATGGCAAGAACTGGCATCGGCTGTGTCTCCCAGAAATGGACACATTTATATTCTCTTTCTCTCGTTCTCCCCCTCTCACACTCTTATGGTCTGCGTTAGCCTTCATAAAATATTCATGTTGGTTGTGCTCAGTGCCATAATTGCCATCTCAGCCTCTGAATAATTGATGGCTGGTGCCGTTGACTTGGTCTCATTTACTGAGAGTGTGGGTAATACCATACTCGCACATGCCACATGCTCTTATGCCATGCTGCCGCAGTTAGTGCTGATTCCAGATCAGCCGCTTTCTCTGTACGCTGCTATTATTCATCTGAAACCACCCTCACAGCTACAGTCAAATGCATTTAAATCAATAGCGCTAGTAACTTAGGCTACAAGTATCATTGCAAACACGGGGGGAAGGGGGGCAATTTGATTTCGTTTGATGTGCTTTTAGGAGTGACTCGAACTCAGTGAGGGGCTGCAGAGACTTTCCCAAGCACTCTTCCGTTTATTAAAGTACATTTTCTGTGATCGTTGCATTTTGAGTGGGTGTCTGATTGTAAAGTGCACTTTCCTGTGTGGATGTTTTGTATTTAATTTGACGTCTAGCGAAACAGGCTTCATTTTTTGTGAATCATTCCTTGGCTGAGATTTGAGGAGAATAACACAAGCGGCTTAATGGCTAAGTGTCCACGTTAAGCGAGCCTGCAGAGTTAATTAACTGGCCAGAGCTGAGGGGACAGATGTGACCCCTAGACAGACTGAGGTCAAAGGTCAATTTGTTGAGGATTACATTAACCCTGCTTACACTAACCCCATCACCCCTCGGTTGCTGCTTTAATTCATTGGTCTCCTTCTTTTACGTCCTGACATTAACTCTTCACAGCTTGATAACTGGGTAAGCTCCAATCACCCATTAGTGCACTGCAAAGTGAACTTCATTGGGTATTTTATGATCTATGTTCAGTCTGAGGGGCACTGCAAAATGCACAGGGAACAGTACATTATCAGTACATCAACACACAGGAAGTGTAGGGAGAAGTCACTGTACACCATCTGAATATCACAAAAAAGTTTGGTAAAAAAAAAAAAAAAGTTGAATTCTTCACAGCTGCCTGTATAAAGCACACAAGATGTGACCGTCACAATGTCATCATCATAGCCATGGGTCAAGAAACAATTTGGATAAGAAATTATTCTTGAGAAGCAATTTAGCATATCAGAATGATTTCTTAAGGATCATGTGACACTGAAGACAGGAGTAATGACAGCTGAAAATTCAGCATTTGCAATTACAGAAATAAACCATATTTTAAAATATATTATGACAGAAAACAATTAATTTAAATTGTAATAATATTTCACAATATTACTGTTTTTACGGTATTTTCAATCAAATAATGCAGCCATGATCAGTCCTTTTTCAAAAACACGATCTCCGAAATTAAACTGTAGCATATAAGTATATCTGCATGACTCATTTGTCTTATGTGTTTGATGACATTGCAGCATTTTCAAATGGTGCATTTTCCCAAGTGAAGTGAACTTAAATAGATATAGCCAGCTCAGTGTGTAGGGAGCAATGAACACTGCATAGGATCCCTGTGAATCAGAGTGCAGCTATACTCTCTCATTCTTCCACGCCATCATCTGTACTCTTTCCATCTCAGTTACAGTTTCATTAGCAGCCGGTTTGATGTGTCTAAAAGTGCAACGTAAGAGTTATTAAGCAGAGCAGTACGTATGACAGGTCAGTCTCTGTGCTCTGACTTAAACTCATCCTACCCATCAGACACTTGGAGTGTTGCCCTCTTACTCATGCTGACTGTGGTTATAGCCCTCTATAATTGAAGTGCTCTTAGCCACGCCATTTGCAACGTACCGTCCAATCTCTTCTAAAAGCATAAGGTCCCTGTCCGAAGTGCCCTACGGAGGGGACAGTGCACACTTTATTAAACATTACACGTGTGATTACATGTCCCCCTCCCTGTTTGGCAGGCATCGGAGTACTCTCGCTATTGCTAATAGAGCTACGGGGTCAACAGAGTCAAACTATATCCACATTACACATGTGGATGAGGGCTCTAAAAACTATGAGTGAGTGTTTATGTGAACGTGGTGTCTAGGAGACCAGAAGGACAAATTCATAGAGTAGAGGGAAAGAAAGACAAAGGATGTCTTCCTAAAGTGAGGGCACCCAGGGTTTTTCAGGGGATTTAAGAGGACTATGAGAGTGTGATGTCAGCGAGGGGGTTAAGCCAAGACTTATCTCCACACAAAGCAGGAAAGAGAGTAAGAGAAGGAAAGCGAAAGCATGGAAGAATAAGGGACAGGTCAGGAGCGCTCAGACAGGGTCAGTGACAGGAGGGAATCAGTGGGGAAGAAAGCCGTGGCTTAGAGCTCTTAAATGATATTATAGACGAGGCCTGTAGCACTAATCTGTTTACCCAAACAACACAGTGGATAACACACACACAAACATGTTTTTATCAATGCACACACACACTGAGCTGCAAAATGCAAGATGACATCATATATATATATATGATGATATGATATATATATATATATATATCATGTATATGTGTGTGTGTGTGTGTGTGTGTGTGTGCGAGTGCGCGCATGCGTGT